GCCCCCAACCCGGATCCATGCTCCGCACGGGCTCCGGTCACAGTCCCGGCTCCGGCTCAGCCGCTGCCCCGGGGGAGCATGGCCCGGGCGGGCCCAGGGGCGGGGGCGGGCTCCCCCGGGGCTGGGAGCGAGAGCTTGAGGGTTCTCCGGAGCTGGGTGCTCTGGACCAGTGGGTGTCACAGGTCGAGGGGAGGAGGTCCTGCGAGGTCGCGACACCAGGGTTCCTCTCTTCACAGCCCGGGTCTCTCCTCCGACCCGGATTAGTCCACCGGCCAGCGCCCGACTCCTTCCACGGCCTCCGGACCCGGGCGGGGACTCTCCTGCAGAGACGCGGGGGCTCGCGGCCGGCACCGGCTCCAGGAGAGCTGCGTGCGCAGAACTGACACTGACAACACCGCCGGCGCCCCGCCCCCACCCACCCTTAAAGGAGCCGCACCCGCGAGGGGCGGGGCTTGGCCAGCCCCCAGGCTCTAGCATCCGAAGAGGGCCGGAGAGGAGGAGACTCCGAGGTTGAAAATAGGCGGGATCTCTGGCCACCCCGCCCCATCCTGGAATCCTGATACTTCCCCTTCCCCGAAACCTTAATAGTAATTTCACTCACCTTTTATGCCGACTCTGCTTTTCCTTGCGCTCTTTAGATTTCTATAGTTTAGACGCCTGTGGGAGTAAGAAAGAGGTGACCCCCGTGGATAGCATCGTCCCCTTCTGCTAACACCTTCAGGTCCTGCAGTTTCTTGATTCCTTTTTCGTGGCCGAAGCCAGACTCTGGGTAAGTAGGTGCAGTGTACAGCTCCTAGATAGAAATATCTGGCAGAGGTCCAGGTGATCCTGGCCAGGGAGAAAGCAGAATTCAATCTAGTAAAGGGTTCAGAATAGAACCTAGAATAGGAACACCCCCATTCCGTCCTCACCACCTCACCTCCCTGTAGAGCTATAACTCAGGAACACCCCCTATTAACCTCCTTGCTAGTGTGGGTTTGTTCTGGAGATATTTCCCAACCCTGGGGCTGCTTCTGTTTTTAAAAATAATATATTTCCATAGTAACAGCTCCTGCCTATGGAGCACAGAGTGTAGAGGGGGTGGTGATGAGGAGGGAGCTGGCAATGTAGCACTGGACTATCAATAGATTCCGCCAGAAGACCCTGCCATCCAAATATGTGCTATCCCAACAAGCACCCAAAATAATGATGTCATAGATACATCTGGCCTCAGGATGCTCGCATCCCTTTTCCATGATTTAAGGGAGTGTCTTCACAAGGGTGTGCCAGTGCTTTCTAGAAGCAAAAGAAGGGAAATCCTACAAAAGGATTAAAGGAACACCCCACTTTCCAGAGGCCCTTGTATATGTATATGGCAGGGCCTTTTGTGTACATAGAGCTTGGAGGGGTGGACTGGGAAGGTGTTAAGTATTTCTCTCCCCAGTACAGTCAGTAGTCTGAGTAATAGACACATGAGAGTAAACAATGTCTCCTTAAGTGCTGGGTTGCAGCAAGCAAGCAGAACCTGGAAGGTCAGGTTGTCCGAGCCAGAGGAGGGGAGATAGGTAGCCTGGAGTGTTCCTGGATTCACTGTAAAAAATGATGGGTGTGTGTGTAACAAGGTAAGCTCACTATGGCCTTGCCAGTGTGTTATCACTGGAATCCCAAGACAATTGCGATTCCTAGAGTCTGGGTTTCTAATCTTGAGGGAGGGAAAAGACTGGACATAAAGGGAGGAGGGAAGTCAAGACCAGAACCCAGAGTGCAAAGTTTCACTATGAATACTCTTTTCCCCCCAAGATTCTTTCTTCAGGAACTATTTGATTTTCTTTCTCCCACCCCCCAGCCCTTCAGGGATCTCAGCCCTCCAAATTTTGGGATCTACTTCCTCAAATCCTCCACAGAACACCACAGGTACTGCTTCAAAGTCCCTAGTCAGTCTGCCCAATCTTCCTGCCACTTGTCACTCAGGACTAGCACCTATTTCATTCCCCTTTATAGTCAAGCTGGTTGTTTATATGTCTGCTTTTCCTACTCATCAGGAAGCTGCTTAAAAGTGAGTATCCTCGCTTACTCATTTCTCTTCCCTCTTATTAAAATGAGGTACTTTAAATATGTGAAGTAGACTTCTGGGAGAAACAAACTGTATTTATGTAACTTTGTGCCCACACGTGCAGGAGTTAAAAGTCTCCTGCATACACATAGTAGGGATTAGCAAATTCTTTTCTTTTTTAAAGATTTATTTATTTATGCATACAGAACTGGAGTACCGGCTAGAGGTACCAGGGCAATGAAAGGATTCACAAAAAAAAGTGTGGAGCAGAGTGGCAGGTCGAGTGAAATGCACTGCTGAGAGGAGCAGAGGGTGGGTCAGAAGAGATCTGCCATGCCATGTGGGTCACCTCCCTGACCAGGGATAGAGCTTGAGCTGAGAGGGTAATAGCTTTACAGTGCTGCGTTTTAACCAGTTGTGCGATTAGGGAGGGCCCTGGATTTGCAAATTTTTTTGTAATTTTCAGAATTCTAACAAAAATATTCTAATTTACATGTAAACATTAAGAATCCCTATATTATCTCCATCTTTTGAAAAACCATGTCATCCCAATGGAATGGAAAATCTTGGGTTTGCTTTGAGCTAATAAGTTTTGATAAACTGATAGGAGAGAGACCAGTAGAAAAGGAAAACAAGTGTCTCAACTGCTTTAAAACAGCCACAGCTCTGGTCCTGCGAGTGTCATAGTCCCAGCTATTAAAAACTGTCTTCTTTCTTTTTAGGTACTATGAAACATTTTGGGGACAGACATTGCCAGGCAGTCTGACGCAATAATGAACTGACCTTGCTTACTGGAAGGCACTCAAGGGCTTCATAGAAGTCTCAAATCGCAGACATTATCTGCTTAGCCGAAGAAACCAGCTGATGCCATTGACAATTCACCTGATCAGAGTCCTAAGCCCGACTAACTGCAACATTCAGGCCAATGCTTTGAACTTCTGCCTGAATAGAAGTTCAACTGAGGTTATGTCATGTGTTCATTTATTTTTGTTTGTTTGCCCTTCTGATTAGCCTGATAATCAACTGGGCTTTTACCATCAGGGGAACAAAAATATTCAGATTATATGACAAGTATCCAAGTAACCATGCTCTGATGGTAACATGGATACATGGAGGATGAATCCCTAGTGTTTTATCTTTGAACTAGTTTCCCCTCCCCCAGTAGAGAAGTGGGGGATAGCTAATAAATCCTGGAAAAGAGAGAGAGAAAGATTCCCAAAGCCAAGCTGAGAAGGGAAGGTATATTAGGATTAGCCTTCTAATAAAAAAGGAAACAAATACAAACTGTTCCTCAGACCTCCACCAAGTCTTAGCCTGCTCATAATCAACAAGATAACTGAATGCTGTCTCCTCTGTGGCTCCCACAGGCTCCTCCTTTGCACCTGCTTCTGGCATCTCAATTTCTCTCTGGAAGGCCACACTTGCCATCTATGGAAGTCTTTGGATAGACTACTCTTCAAGTGTCTCTCACCCCCCCCCCACAACTAATTGCTCTCTCCATGTGTTCCTGTTGCCGCCCTCTGTCAGACCCAGACTCGTATGATGATGCTCTATATGCAGAAAATTCTGTGCCCTTAGCTTCGAGAGAACACCCTGTGGAATCGAGAACACTTACCTCTAGGGAGTTTGCAGTCTAGGAGGCAGAGTGTATACACACACAGAGAGAGAAACAATATCAGTGGGATAATAAACAAAAAAATTGATAAAATGTTATCAAGTAAATAACTAGAATGATTTAATATCTATACAAAGTATATATAACATGTACATAAATATATACATACATATAGTCTTTTGTTAATTAGAACCACCTTCAAATAGAAAAGACTTCACACCTGTTCTGAGACAGGAGAAACTGTCTTTGGCTTAAAAAAATCAGCCAACCCTCACTCCTGGAGCATGCCATATTTAAGAGTGGGACAAAATGCCAGGATAGTTGAGTCGTTTTCTGACTCCCTGGTGGTGGTTTCCTCTCTGAGGAATGGAAATCATTTGCCACCTAAGAACCTGTGGGAGAATGAAGATGCTGAAGAACTGTTACTGGCAATGAAGCAGGTGCGAAGCCAAAAGGCCTGGTAACCTGAAGGAAGAAACTTGACAGTTTGAGCCTGGTTCTGCTTCCTTAACTCTAGCCAGAGCCTTAGTCTCCTCTTTGCGGTTTAGGGAGCTTGGCACAATGGAGTGATCCAGAACCTAGGAAACTCAAGTACCGGGTGAAATCCAAGACCAGAGGGCACTTAGCGCCTGCAGTGATGAAGTGCGCCACTGGGTTAGTTGCCAGGCAACTAACAGCTACTGCGGGGGCAGAAGGTGGGTGGGATGTTGAAGGAAAAATACCTGGATCAAGGACTAGAAAAACTGGAGAGGGAGGGGTTTTTCAAGGGTCTACGCTTCAGCGTTTATATCATTCTCCCAAACTGCAGTTGCATCTGGGAACTGAGTTGTGTTTACTGTGGTGACAACAGGTTTTCCAGAAGAAGCCGACTGTGCACCCCTTTCTTGTCCATCCAATCCCCAAGCTTCCAGTAGTCACCTTCCGGACTCCAGCGGTCCCCATTCCCAGAATAAACTCCAGGTTCTAGCCCTTTAAGAGTGACCTACGGGGGCCGACCGAGCCAAAACTGACGTGGAACCAGGTGTAAGCAGCGCCAACTACGTAGTCCCGGAGGCGTTCATCTTGGAACCGGGCAAGGGAATGGTTCCGCAGTGGACTGTATCTTTAACATACCATTAGAAAGTATCCGCTGTTGTTTGTCTTTCTTTAAATTTTCAATACTCTCCTGATGATCCACCTCTCGAACAAAGGCAGTGTTTTAACCTATCGCTTACCTCCTCTTTTGCCCATATTAAAAATGGCTGTCGCCGCCTTCCCCAGCGATAGTGCTCTACGAACAAGATCCGGGCGGAAATCGAGGGTAGGCAAATACAGTGGGACAGAGCCAAGATTGCTTTGTAGAAGCTTGAGGGAGTCCCCAGGGTGACTCAAGTGAAAGTTGGTTTTTGCTCAAGCAGGTGCCGGAAGATCCAGACTGTGGGTAGCGGTCGCTCTTTATGGGGGCTTGGGACTTCTGCCAGCTTGCCGATTAGCTGGTGAGGCGCCAAAACGGACTCTGGAAGGTCACTATGTGGGCCTTCCCGGAGCTGCCGATGCCAATGCCCCTGCTGGTGAATTTGATCGGCTCGCTTTTGGGATTTGTGGCCACCCTCACCCTCATCCCCGCCTTCCGTAGCCACTTCATCGCCGCGCGCCTCTGTGGCCAGGACCTCAACAAATCTGACCGGCAAGAGATGTGAGCGGCGGAACACGGGTCCCAGGCGGGGACAGGGACTGAGGAAGTGGAGTGGGAAGGTCAGGGGAGGGTCTGCTATGCTTGACTGTGCGCCGAAACGCAGCACTAACCCAGCAGACAGCCTGGAACTTTGGGAGGAGAAGGGTAGAACTGATTAGGCATGGGGAAGGAATGAGTGGGGGACACTCGGGTGTATCAGAGACTAGCAATGGTGCCCTACCCCCCCCATTAGGTGACTGTAATGCCTGCATTAGTGAGTGACCACACCCCCTTTCCTCTTCCTCCTCGGCTCTTTTCCTGCTGGGCTGCAGCCCAGAATCCCAGGGAGTGATCAGTGGTGCTGTTTTCCTTATCATCCTCTTCTGCTTCATCCCTTTCCCTTTCTTGAACTGCTTTGTGGAGGAGCAATGTAAAGCCTTCCCTCACCATGAAGTAAGTGGGTTAGTGGGGGCGGTTGCCTATAACTGGGGTCCGGGGTGAGGGGGAGCTACCGAAGGTTGGGAGTTAAGTGGACTGGCTTGGGGGAAGGGTCTTACTAATGAACAAAAAGACAAGAATTCTTGAAAAGAAAGGTAAAGTGGGACTAGGCTTGATCTGTAACCTACCTGAGCCTCCCCCAGTTTGTGGCCCTAATAGGTGCCCTCCTCGCCATCTGCTGCATGATATTCCTGGGGTTCGCGGATGATGTACTGAACCTGCGCTGGCGACATAAACTGCTGCTGCCCACAGCTGCCTCACTACCTCTCCTTATGGTCTATTTCACCAATTTTGGCAACACAACCATTGTGGTACCCAAGCCTTTCCGTCTGCTTCTTGGCCTACATCTGGACTTGGGTGAGTAATCCTGCCTTGACTGCCCCTAGGGCCTGTAACTCAGGACACCTTTGTGATATACCCATTAGGGCATTACTGGTGCCACCCCTTCACCTCAGGTGTCCCTGTTTTGTCCCTCAGCCCTTTTTGTTGGCCCTTCATTCTGTCCCGTTCTCACCACTTTTCTCAGGAGAATGTCCCTAAATCCTCAATCTATAGGTGGTGTTTACTTCTCTTATTTCAGGGATCCTGTACTATGTCTACATGGGGCTGCTGGCAGTGTTCTGTACCAATGCCATCAATATCCTAGCAGGAATTAATGGCCTAGAGGCTGGCCAGTCACTGGTCATTTCTGCTTCCATCATTGTCTTCAACCTGGTGGAGCTAGGAGGTAGGTGGAATTACAGATAGAGAGAAAGAGAAGTCTAAATGTTAAGGGAGTTGCCTGATATCTGGTTTTGGGGAATTCAGGGAAAAAGCAATATGAAGTAATTGTGGAAGATAAGGGAAACTATTTACTCTGCAAATAACAACTGAGAGTTATGAAATGTGAGAAAGAAAAATAGCATTCCTATTCTTTCAAGCTAGGTGGGCACGAGACCATAGTTTTCGGTAGAACGACATAACAACCTCACAGAACTCCAATATCAGACAGGTCACTCTGACCACAAGAGAGTAAGACAATAGCCAGACCCCTCCTAACCATGTCTGAGCATACATAAAACCACAAGAACACTGTGCATCCCACAAAAATGACCAAGATCATCTCTTCTGACTGAGTGATTGTTGCTTCTTTCTTATAACTCAGTTCCTCCCACATCTTTCTTTTTTAAAAAGATTTATTTACTTATACATAGAAGAACTGGGGTAAAAGCCAGAGATGTGGGGGAAGATTCACCAGAGACAGAGTGGGGAGCAGAACAGGCAAATCTACGGAAATATACTGCTGAGGGGAATAGTGGGCGACACAGGAGAGGCCTGCTGCACCATGTGTGGGTTAGTTCCCAGGCTGGAGATTGAACTCAAGACTTTGTAGTAATAGTGCTGAAACTTAACCTCTAGGCCACCAGGAAGGCACCCACATCTTTTAAGTACAAAGTAAGTATTTTAAGTACATTTACTTACTAGCCAAAGGGGGACCCTAATGGAACTAACACTTTTAAAAAGTTGCATGTTAGCTATTGTGATAAAGGTAATTGATGACAGTAGGGGGGAAAAAAAGAAGCAGTTTGGGGCTCTCCCTGGTTGTGCAACGGGTTAAAGCACCGCATTATGAAGCTCTCTGAAGCCACTGCAGCACGAATTCGATCCTCCACCAGGGAGCTGACCCACATGGCGCAGCAGACCTCTTCTGACCTGCCTGCTGCTCCCCTCAGCAGTGTGCTTCCTCAGTCTGCCTGTTCTGCTCCCTACTCTGTCTCTGGTGACTCCTCTCACCACCCCTGCACCTCTGGACTGTACTCGCAGTTCTGTATGCATAAATAAATAAATATTTTTTTTTAAAAAAAAAGCAGTTTGGAGATATACTCATTGAACTAAGCTTGTTCATCCTTGTAACTAATTCTTGTCCAAAATGATGATGGAATATTCTACTTTTTCATAGACCCCAACTTCAGGTGAAATTATTCATGACATACCCATTACTAATTACCCATCTTCCAATTTTCTTGCTATTGTGCTTTTCTTCCCATCCCATTCCTCATGTTGAACCAATGGGCCTGTTTGTAAATTTGCAAACAATTGCAAACTTGCAAACAAGTTTTTCTGCCATCCACTGTAGTTTCTTCAAACTTCTGTTGCAGATTACTTGAAAACTGTTGTTTTTGAAGTGTTCTCAGTTTTTTACTTGAGGTTTTTGCCATCAATAGTGATCACACACAAAAGTGATGACACAATTTGGTTTGGCCACTGCATTTATCTTTCACACAGCCGTTCTTACTGCCACTTCCTTCCATGTTCAGCAAAGCGACTGCTGCTTGCCAGGCACCATCATCTTAGCAGCTGCTGAACGGTGGCCATAGTGGGCTCAGAGAGAGAAGAGGAGAGTTCAGCGTGGTAAAAGGGTGCACTCCTCCCACAGCTTAGACAAGCATGCTCAATCATAGAATTATCCTGTGATGGCACCTAGTTCAGGGCAAACTCTGCCCTATGTATCCTCTTCAGAACTACTTCAAGCAAATCCTATAACAAGTTCTCCTACATCCTCTTACTGAGACATCCCATGCCCCCCCATGGCCAGTGATTTTCAAAGTCACCCCTGTTACAAGAAGTCAGTAAACCCAGCTTTTGCTACAAGAGTGTCATCTTTGACTGGGGCATCAGCAAGTGTTTATTAAAGTTAAGCCCTTTTTTTAATATAGCCTCCATTTCACCTTTATATTAACTCTAGTATAGACTGTTACATACTAGTGAGGCAGGTATTACCATCATCCAACAGATGAGGAAACTGAAGCTTAGAGGAATTAATGTGTCCTGATCAAGGTCACATTAGATAAATGTAAAGCTGGTATCAAAACCTAGGTGTGAACAATCTAAACCAAATTTTAGAGAGTGATTTTAAAAGACTTCATGAAAGAGGTGGAATGTTAAGAATTACTTGAATCATTTAAAAAGGATAGAGAGTTCTTCAGTGAGACTCAGGAGAGCCCAACATGGGGTGGAACTTAGAGACAGATGGAAAAGGACTGGTGTGGTATGGAGGGGCAGTGGCTATCAACTTTTCCTTTTCTCTTTTTTCCTTGCTTCAAAAGGTGATTATCGGGATGATCATGTCTTTTCCCTCTACTTCATGATACCATTTTTTTTTACCACCTTAGGATTGCTCTACCATAACTGGTAAGTAGGCCAGTGGCGAAGGGAGGGAGGGCAACTATTTGAATGTATGCCAGGCCAGTATGTTCCTGATTGTGCCCCATCTCTGGATGGGGAGGGTAAACCTCTGCATCCTGTGTTGTGGCTTGACTCCTGTTGATAGCAATCTGAAATTGCGCTCTACCCAGCAATAATTGGGGGCAAGTGCTGTGTATACTTCAGGAATAGATGAATTCAAGACCTTGGGAGAGCTGGAGTCTCCTCTGAGCCAGAACTAGTACCAGGGCTAACCCAGCACCTAGGATGTGTGATGCGAGAAAAAATGGCTCTTGCCACTGGCTCAACTCCTCTCCCCCAAACAGGTACCCATCACGGGTGTTTGTGGGAGATACCTTCTGTTACTTTGCTGGCATGACCTTTGCCGTGGTGGGCATCTTGGGACACTTCAGCAAGACCATGCTACTCTTCTTCATGCCCCAGGTGTTCAACTTCCTCTACTCACTGCCTCAACTCCTACATATCATACCCTGCCCTCGACACCGCATGCCCAGGTAGACACTTTGAAAGGGACTTGAAAAGACTTGAAAGATTTATTTATGCATACAGGAACTGGGGTGTAAGCCAGAGGTCTGTATGTGGGGAGGTGTGTGTATGAGAGGATTCACCAGAAATCATGGGGAGCAGAACAGGCAGATTGACCAAAACATACTGCTGAGGGGAGCAGTGGGCGAGACAGGAGAGGTCTGCTGTGCTATGTGGATTATATCCCTGGCCAGGGATCGAACTCGTGCTGCAGTGGTTGCAGATACTTCATAGTGCTGTGTCTGAACTGCTTGCACCACCAGGGAGGTCCCTTGAAAGGTTTTGAAAGGGACATCATAACTTTTTCACTTGGACTGCATAAAGCCAGCTTTATACACTTATTATGAAAAAGAAGCGGATCCAAAGAATGACTTAACTTTTCACATGGGCAACCCTATATATAAATTACTGAGCACATTCACATACACAATCTCATTTAATGTTCACAGCCGCTCTGATCACACAGAAGTAAGCAGTAGAGCCAGAAACAGGTCTCAAGTTGTTTGACTTTACATTCAGTGCTCTTCCTATAAATTAACCACTTCAAGGAGAGTTCTTTGAGTAGTGTCCCAGTTACATAAAGCTCTCTTCCCCCGCCCCATCTCCCCTGCAGACTCAATACCAGGACAGGCAAACTGGAGATGAGCTATTCCAAGTTCAAGACCAAGAACCTCTCTTTCTTGGGCACCTTTATTCTAAAGGTAACAGGGTAACAAGGAGGTAAGGCTCTAGGCCTCCATCCTGAATTCAGGGACCGGGGAACCTAGGCCTGCCTGCATCAAATTGAAGGGGAGTTTGGAAGCTTTTAAGCAGATCCCTATTCCCGAAGCTTAGGTATTAGTTGACATTATCTCCATCTCTGACACCTGCAGGTAGCAGAATGCCTCCAGCTTGTGACCGTGCGCCAGGGTGAAGCCGAGGATGGTGCCTTTACCGAGTGTAATAACATGACCCTCATCAACTTGCTGCTAAAAGTCTTTGGGCCTATGCATGAGAGAAACCTCACACTGTTCCTGCTGCTGCTACAGGTGCAGAATGGTTAGGGGTGGGGTTTCACCTCTTTGTCTCTTTTTGTGGTTCTTATTTTAGTCTTTTCTCCTTGCAGATCTTGGGCAGTGCCCTCACCTTCTCCATTCGGTATCAGCTTGTCCGACTCTTCTATGATGTCTGAGTTCCCTGATCACTGGCCTTACTTCACAGTCTTCAGGGTTTCTGACTCATGCCAACCTCTTTCTGGACCAAGACTGCCTCCTCTCCAGGCCTCCTCCCACCCTTCATTCTCCTCCAGATTTTGTTCTCATCAATTCTTTTCACCTGTGTATTGGCATCCTGGAGATTGGAATTTGCCTGTGGCTTTCTACAGCTCTCCCTCTTCATCCTGTCTCACAGCACCCTAAGGCAGGCGACAACAGCTCTTATGCAGTTTTATGCCGTTATCCACAGCTCGGACTCAGGGAATGTTTTGGCCCTGACTTGGATAGGAACAGACTTGAAGATGACTTGACATTTCACTATAAATTAAGTATAATGATTATTAATAGACCTGGGGTGGGGTGGGGGGTGGGGAACATGGCAGGTGCTCCCAGTGATGACAATAAATTGTTACTTCTTCTTCTTGTTCCTCTAGGTGTATTTCCCATAGGAAATATTTTAGGATTGATTGGGAGGGTTGGTGGAGGCACCTTCTCCAAGAGGATGCCAACCTCTTTGCCCCATCCTTTTTCTTTCGGTATACTAGGCACCTTCTAACAAGTGAACTGAAAGAGCTGAGACCAGACAGAAAATCCTGATACTTCAGGCTGCTCCAAGGGTCACAAGACTGACTTTTTGTTTTCTGGCATAAAGTGGAATTTTCAGTGGGATCTTATTTCTTCCCTTTTATCACTCTCCCTTTGCAGGATGGGAGGAGGGAATGACCATCTGGAAGAGGAGGCAGAGGTAGTTGACCCCTTTGCTTTAAAATCCCTAGGCCTGCACAGATTTCCCAAAGGAAGTTTTTCACATGCCGGCAGACTGCGCCCATCTAGTCTTCCGGTTCGAATCGCGGCTGTAGCATTTAAATTCCGCGCGCTTCGCAGGGATTGGCTCCGTCAGCGAGCGGTCGGCTGTCTGGGCCACCACTCCTACTCGCCTCTTTCCCCGGGCTAGAGCTTTTCAAATTCAGCCAATGGGTGGGCGCGCTCCCTCGGTCGACGTGCGTCACCGTAGGGTTAAGTGCAGCCAACCGGAGGCAGGCAGTAGGCAGAAGAGCCAATCAGAAGGGCGCGGGGGTGTGTCCTGCGGCCTATAAAGGCGGCTCTTGGGCGCGCGCGGCGGCGGTTGGACTGCGGCTGTCGGCTGTTCGGCGTCCCTCGGAGGTTTTTCTCTTCACCGCTCCGCTACCTCACGCAGCATGTCGGGCCGCGGCAAGACGGGCGGCAAGGCCCGCGCCAAAGCCAAGTCGCGCTCGTCGCGCGCCGGCCTCCAGTTCCCGGTGGGCCGCGTGCACCGGCTGCTGCGGAAAGGCCACTACGCCGAGCGGGTCGGCGCCGGCGCGCCGGTGTACCTGGCGGCGGTGCTCGAGTACCTCACCGCGGAAATCCTGGAGCTGGCGGGCAACGCGGCCCGCGACAACAAGAAGACGCGGATCATCCCCCGCCACCTGCAGCTGGCCATCCGCAACGACGAGGAGCTCAACAAGCTGCTGGGCGGCGTGACGATCGCCCAGGGGGGCGTCCTGCCCAACATCCAGGCCGTGCTGCTGCCCAAGAAGACCAGCGCCACCGTGGGGCCGAAGGCGCCCGCGGGCGGCAAGAAGGCCACCCAAGCCTCTCAGGAGTACTGAGCGGCGCCCCCCCGGCCCCCAGCCCTCCCCGTGTCACCACAAAGGCCCTTTTAAGGGCCACCACAGCCCTCACCGAAAGAGCTGGCCACGCCGCGGCCCTCGCGTCTCCCCCGTCCCGCACCCGGCGCCCCTCCCCCCGCGGCCCTCTCCGTTATCCCAGCCCGAGGGCCCGCCCGGCTGGCGCAGAGGCCGCGGAGGGGCGGGGTCGCCGCACCTTCCCGCCCGGCGCTCGTGACTCAGCCGGCCCGGCTCGGGGCTCGCCGCTGGGCTGCGGTGGGGCCGCGGCACCTCGTAGAAGAACCGGGTGTGCGGCCAGGGCCGTGGCCGGCGGCCTGAAGGTGAGTCTGCGGACGACCGCCGGCGACCCCTCAGCCCACCGGGGCGGCCTGGCCGCGGCTCCCCCCCCTGCGTGGTGCTCAGGCCGGACCCCGCGGACGCGACTGTTGACCTCCAGGCTTCCGCGGGGAGCGATGGCTCGTCCGTCCTGGTGCCCCCTGGCTGCCAGCCCCCGGGCTTTCACGGCAGGTCTCCCTCCCATCTTCCTTCACAGGCCGTGAGGTGCGGCCTTGGCTACGCGCACATCCTTTCCTCTGAGGTGACTGCCTGCCGCGAGAAGTCGCCGGGAGGGGCAGGAGCCCCCGTCGTGGGCCCGCGACCGGGGGACGGACGGCAGGTCTCGGAGTGGGTGCTCGAAGCCGAAGGCCGCAGGACCCCGCCTGCCCTCGCCCCAGCTCCCTCCCAGCAGCTCAGCTCGGCAAGCCATGCGCCCACATACCAGCACTCGTCGGTGGATCCCTGTCTGGACTGCGCCTCCTTGGGCACCTGAACTGGACTTTTCGCAGCCAACCCATCCATGACTAGAACCTTAAGTATTGGAGAGTTTCAGATGGACTAATTTTGTTTATTAAAGGATTGTTGTTTTTTTTAAAGTGAAGTGTCTGTTCTCATTTTGCACGAGCGGTAGCACTGAGGGCTTCTTAGTCTTTCACATGCTTCTGAGGTAGTGGGGGTGGAGGACTCGCAGACTGAGGTTCATAGTACTTGGAGGGGCAAGTCATAGGGTGTTTTTTAAGGATTTTACGATTATAGCTTTTTCGTGGCGTTTCCTGCTAACAGAACTGCTGAGGCAGAAACTGTTTCAGGAGAAATTCAGACAGCAGTCCCAGTACCTGAAGTAAAGGGTTTCATGTTTGTCCTTTTCTGCACCCCCACCAAAAGACCTTCAGAGCTGGTTTATTAGTAGAGTTAGTTACATTCACACTTGTGGCTTGGACTTGTCTCTGAGATGAGCCCCCTCATAGTGAGAGGGCAAGAGGCAAGTCCCTCGAGGTCTCTGACCCTGCAGTTCAATCCCCCAGGGTAGTCACTACCCAGTTAGTGAAAGGGGGCACAGATGACTGGGATGTAGGTGCTTGACAGTGGCAGTCCATACACCTGTGCCCCACAGACCAGTTAGTGGGCCTCATTAAGCTGCCGTGCAACATCCAGGATGTTCTTGGCTCCTTTGTTCAGCAACAAGTTGGCCAGGCTGATGCCCAAGTTCTCAGCAGCTAGCTGGGCTCCTCGTGGAATGTTCCGGGCTGTGATGCCCACCAATTGTGGATCATCCTCTGGACCATCTTCATGCTGGATGAGGGAAGGCAGTGGGATTTGGTGAGCACAAAGAGGAAATAACATGGGGCCTGGTTTCTTTCCCTATTAGCCTCCAACCTTGGTACCTGGGCAGAGACATGAATGGTGGCCTGCATGGTCTCTTGCATGCTATCTGAGCCATCCAGACTCCACACGCCTCCAGTCAGGTACAACTGGGGAACAAACAGTTATCTCAGCGTATTCCGGGTGGGGACTCCTCAAACTTGGGTTCTTTCACTGGCATTTAGGATACATAAGGAGAAACACCATTATCCACCCTTGCCCTCCACCCATCCTTTGCTTACTTGCCCGTCCTTCATAACGGTATGCACTGCCACTGGCACACTGCAGCCTCCTTCCTGCAACAAGAATTTCTCACTTAACACCACTCTGTGACCAGAACCCTCAAAAATAGAACTCAAATATAACTTGGAAAAAAAAAAAAAAAGAGTCCCAGAATTGGGTCCTCTTCACACACAACATTCAAGAACAAGTTACTACTAAATACGGAGCCTTAATTTGAGAACCCTCATTACCCTCCCCAACTCCCCACTCCTCTACTACAAGAGGAGCACAGGTCCTACCAGCTGCCTCAGGAAGGCCCGTTCAGCGATGCAGCGAAGCAGAGTCTCAGGATCATGCAACACCCCCACCAGATCCAAGATGTCCTGGTCATTAGCTCGAACTTCCACGCCCAGGGCCCCCTGATTGAAAAACAGCCTAGGACATCAGGCCCAACCTTTCTTCCACCAATGGAGCTAAGGTTGGGAATCAGCCCCTTGCTACCTGTTCCCCTGGGCCTTTGGAGCCAGATGCCTTCTAAGGCCTGCCCTTCCTTGAGAGTGTTTATTAAGGTGAGAGTACTCAGCTGGTGCCACCAGCTTCTTGGTTGAGAACAAAGGAAAGGGGTACATTAATATGTGGTCAAGCATACCTGACCCACAGCATACATGCATTCCTCAGGATGCAGAATCTGTGGGGACAAAACAGGAGACAAAAGGTGATGATGTGGGCTCCTAAAAGAATATAGCAGTGAGAAGGGACTTCCCTTGCAAACAGAAAATCTGATCAACTGGTCCCTGAGTTCCCCAATCTTCCCAGCCTGGGATCATTTCAGCTTGCAGTGTTAGGAGTAGATAGGTGTGAAGAAGAGAATACAGGCAGGCAAGAGGTAGAGACTGACTGGGGAGGGAACAGGAGCAGCCCCTACCTGCCCCACCCTGTTCTGCCAGCCCATGCGCTGCAGGCCCGCTACAGCCAGGATGATGGCACTGAACTCCTGTTGCTCGTCCAGCTTCCGAAGCCGTGTGTTGAGGTTTCCCCGCTGTGGAGAGATGCTAAGGACCACAAGCACTGGGCAGTCGAGCTGTGTGCTGTTCTTTCTGCCTGACACTATCTAGCTAACTTTTCATCTTACAGTTTTTACCTTCATGATGATAGCTTACATTTCATACTAGATGCCCGAGACTGTTTTAGAGTGCTTTACACGTGCCAGCTCATTTAATTTCCACAATTCTCTGAGGTAGATATCTATTTTACAATTAGGATAATGGTGCAGAGATTAAATAATTTACCTAAGGTTACAAGACCTTCGAGAAGCCTTGCCCCAAATCTGTGTTTAGATGTTCCAGCTGGAAGCCTGATAGAATTCCCTACTTGTACAGGGGAGAACTTAATCCATACTGTTCTGATAATCAGTTGTACAAGACGTAACAGTATTCACGGTAAAAATCAAAACAATATAGAATATAAAAGAAAAATGGAAGCATCTTCCATCCCCCAAGATTTACACTCTTCAATATCACTATTATCAATGCCTGTTTGTTTTCTTGACTAAGGAAAGTATGTAAATAGGGACAATACAGATCTTGCTCACTCTAATCTCCAGTGCGAGGCACTGGTCTCAAACTAAGAAAACATGAAAGGATGACAGGGTAGAGAAGTGGAGGGGAGGAAGGACAGTCTATTCCCCCCATGATTGACCCTTCTGGAAGCCCTTCCACTCAGGATTCTCAAGGTCCTCTGGACCTCATCTTCCTCCTTGCTACTGCCCCACTTCTCCTTAAAAGGATACAATATTCTTGGCCCTCCCTGGTGGCGCAGCGGGTTAAAGCACTGCACTGAGAAGCTAAAGCCACTTCCGCATGAGTTCAAATCCCGCCTGCCCCGGAGGAGACCACATGGCGAGGCAGACCTCTCCTGACCCGCCCGCTGCTCCCCTCAGCAGTGTACTTCGTCGATCTGCCTGTTCTGCCTGTTCTGCTCCCCGCTCTGTCTCTGGTGAAGCCTCTCACCGCCCCTGAGCCTCTGGCCTGTACCCCAGTTCTGTATGTACAAATAAATAAATCTTTAAAAAAAAAAAAAAAAAAAGGATACAATATTCTTGAACTGCAGATGTGGAAACTTTCTCTGCAGCTGGGCAGCTCTCCTCAGGGAGCTGGTTCCCACCACACTGCACAGTGAGAGAGTTTTAAGTGATGTTAGTTAATCCTGGGAGCGTGCTGTTCTCTCCCCCAACATGCGCATCCCATCAACATGCCTATCCAGGCCCCACTCACCTCTTCTCTGATAAGGTTTCTAGCGTCTTCCCAACAAATTTTGGGTGAAAAACAACAGCATCATAGGGGTTCTCTCGCCTGGGGGTAGAAATGAGATCACAGAATGAGGGAGAAATCTGAAGTCAGTCACTTCCACTCTCTCAGTAGCCAACTAACTGGCATTTTCTGAGCTTCTGTTATGCTTAACAGTCCTCAGAGCAGGGGTGACAATCCTAGATGCAGAGAGCCAAGCCCTGAAAGAAAAAGGTTAACACAATGCCTCCCCCTTGCCCGGGGCCCCTGACTGGCAGCACTCTTACTTGCAGATGGCACCAATGGTGAAGCCAGGAGGAAGCACCGTGGGCAGGTCCTTCAGGGAGTGAACAACCAGATCCACCCTAGAAAGATGGGAGAGGGAAGCTAGGAGTTGGGGTCCACCCACACCTGCCTCTGTATCAGAGTCTAGAGCAGATCAGAAAGTGATTCTTTCCAAGTCCTTGAGAGTATGGGGCCCTCCATCCAATCCATCCCCCCACCCATTCCCCCAGCCAATCTCTCGCATGTCAGGCAGCCAAATGGCTCAGAACCGAGATACAATCATTTTTTGAAACCTAAAAAAAGCCACATATGTGGCCCAATCGAAACCACCCAAGGGTTTAAGCCCAAGAACCTAGCTGATATCCAGATCTGAGGCACGCTGAGGCCCCCCCTGCCTTTTACTTACTCATTTCTTTCTAGTGCATGTTCCAGCTCCTTGGTAAACAAGCTCTTCTCTCCAATCTATTGGGCAAAAAGAGCCACAGAGTAAATCTCTTGGGGAAGGAAAGAGGAGGGTGGGACAAGGACTAAGGGGAAAATGTTACCTTAGAGAGTGCAGTATCAAGAATCTTGTCCCCTGTGGTGGACATCGCAACTGAGGAGAAAATCAGTCAGGCATTCACTGATCTTAATTGACTGAGCCCCACTGAGCTCTCACTGTGTGAAGACTCATGGTAAGTGCAGAGACTCACAAGCCCCAGTCCCATTGGGAATGACTGATCCAGAAGAAGAAAAGACATTCATAAAAAGACCCACTGCAGAAGCCATGAACTGCCAGCTAGGCCAAGAGATGGGAGCTGAGGTGTTCAGAGGAAGAAGTCCCAGGGTCAATGGACCCGGCTTCGGGGCCAAGGACAGCCAGAAACCCTATCTTACAGCTTTCATTCCTTTCCCCAAACTCACTGATTTCAAACTGCAGGCCAGGATATAAGGCTTTCAGGGTTGCCACCACACTATCCGTCTGTATGCGCGCCAGCTGGAGACAGAGATGCATATTAGCCTTGCCCTTTCCTGGCCACTGTCCCAAACTCAACCCTCAGGGGGTCACAGAACTCCTGAAGAGACAGGAATTCAGAAAGGGAGTTGAATGTCCACCTAGGAATGAGAGGGATCTGGCTTGGGAATCCCTGACACCCCAACAATTTCTCCAATCTAGAGACAATCTCTCCACATTATGTGCTCTACCATTCCGCAGAGGAATTAATTCCCAGTGACCCCACTTTCTCCAATCTAGAGCTGCTAGGAACTGACCCTCCAGACCAGACCCCCTAACTTCCGAGTACAGAACTCTTCAATAATTCTGCTTCCCTCTGGTACCTACACTCACCTGGCTTTTACGGGTACCCACGCGAATCACTCTCATCTTTGCGTTGTTGTCTTCCTGCAAAAACAGTTCCCACGTCAGTACCCTCTGCTCCTGTGTTCCTCAGTAGCTTGTCCAAGAACCACTCGCTAGATGAAAAACACCTTTGCCCTTAGACCTGTGGTCAGTAGCCTCAGGATGGGGAAATACTACAAGTCCAGACCCTTTACCTTCCTCAGTACCTTCAGCCCTTCTCACAGATCCAGAGAAGCAAGAGACAATAGGACCCACAGCTGCTGTTGCTTCTGCTGCAGTAACCAGGACACTGAGCCCTGAAGCCCAGCCTGGCCAAAGCAGTAGGAGCACTACCCAGCCAGCTGGGTAAAGAGATAAGGTCCATCAGCCTGGCCAGAGGGAGGGTGGGACCTGCAGCAGGCAGGGGCAGGGCAGCAGGGACCACACAGGGGAACTTGTGCTGAGTCACTGAGGCCAAGTTCAGCTCCCACAATAGAGCAGGCACTCAAGAAAAGCTGCAGTGCCACCCAGATGCCAACAGCTACTCCACAGCTGCCACACTACAGATTTCTCAGTCAGGGTGGAATACATACACACAAGGACTGGGGTCAAGAAATCTGATGTACAGGCCTGCTCAGCCTCTTGGCTGGTGACTTCGATTTGAGCACATCAACCCCTCAGTATCTGCTCCTCAGTATCTGTCTACTCATCTACAAAGAGGTGAAGAGGTTTGGCAGCAGTTATCTTCCTCATCTGATGTTCCATAAGACTAAGAGGCTGCACTACCTAATGTTCATTCACCTAGAGCACGGCTTCTGGCTCTACAACAAGGAAATATTGGGACATCAGACACATAGCCGAGAGCTCAGAGGACACGCCTCCTCTTCCTGCCTCTGACAAAGGTGCTTAGTGCCAAGCAGGTGAAACTGGGTTCTTCAGTCTAAGACAATGATCTTATTTTCTACATCCGACAGCAGAACTTTTCCTATTCTAGGGAAAGTTCACTCCATGAGTTCTTTTGCAGACAGGCCTAAGGACTCTATTGCTAGTGGTGACTACTGGCTGCATTTAGACTCTGGTCTACTCCATGGCAACCACATCTCCAGAAAATCAATTCTAGGGGATCTTGATATGAGGCGTGACATGCTAACTCTGAGCACTAAATTCTGTGCCACGGAAGCCCACAGAAAGGAATCCAGAAACTGCTAGGTTCAAACATTCCTTTAAGTTCAGTCATTCTAGACAACACAATTATGTCAGACTGTCCCATTAAAAAGTTACTTATTGAGTACATAGACACAAGATACTGCTTTTAATCTTCATAACAAGCTATCACTTACACAGGACTGGCATTACTGAAGCCATGCTACAGAAGCAAAGCCTGGCTCTGAGGGGTAAAGTGACTGGTCCAGGGTCACACAGCTAATAATGGGCAGAGAGCTGGAACTAGAATCCAGCTCTTCTTAATCTTAGTCCAGGGCTCTGGAATGTCTGCAGTGACAGTGAATCCCTCTGCTCACCAGCAGGCTAACGGGAAGATAAGCAGCCGCCCCATTTCTTATCTCAGGCTGGCAGTGGTGGCCACAGGTAGTGGTACTTTGCACTCACACAAATCCAAAGTTCCAGCAGTACATTGGAATAGGAAGGCCCAAAGGTTGGGCTCTCACCCACTGTAGTAATCCAGCTGGGGACTTTTGAGAAGACTGGAGCTGGGTGAACTGACCGCTAAAAGGGGGGTGGGGTGCGGGTAGGAGGAAGGCGCACTTCTAAGATGTTTGTGTGCAGCTTGGGAGTCTTGGTGGTTTGTTTTCCTCTCGGGATCCTAAGAGGAACATTTTCCATTGCGGTGGTCACATCCCTTCCCCTGCCCTGTCTCGTGTCTAAGGGTCCAGGGGAATAAGCACTCTGTTCTGTATAGACGAACTTTCCGAGGCGAAAACGCTTGATCTAGAACCGTGGACACCACGCCTGGCGTGACTCCCACCTAGATCCCCGCAGGGAATGGGGTTCCCTCCACTCTTAACCTAAGGGTAACTTTAAAAACTACTAGGACCAAAAAAAGTGACAGACAACCGTTCCGACCAATAGACGCCGGAGGGTGGCAACTTGGGGCCAATCGTTGCACCGCTAATCCGGAAGCCCGAAGTCGCGAGGATCACCGGCTCGGGACTCACCGCGGTTGCGGCCGCACTGCCGTTCCCCGACATAGCTGTGCTCGGGAAATAGGCCGGGGGCTGCCGCCACAGCGCCCCGGGATCCCGGGCAGCCGGATGCACCGGCCGGCGGGCAGCCGGGGGCACGCGGGGCCTGAGCTCGTCCTGCAGCCTCAGCGCCCCGGCTCGGGAAGGGCTGCGTCACTTCCGCCGCCCGCCCTCCAGGGGAGGAACCGCCCCTGGGCGGGAATTGGACCGACTGCGACAGCCCTTACCTTGGCGTGACCGGCCTTGCAATGCAAAGCTGGCGCGGCTGCGATCCCGTGTGCCCTGGTCTTTCTGGTTTGAGAAGCAGACGTACCACCTATCCATTTCTTTCTTTCTTTTTAGAAATTTATTTATTTATTCATACAGAACTGAGTACAGGCCAGAGGTGCAGGTGCGGCGAGAGAATTCACCAGAGACAGACTGGGGTGCAGAGCAGGCAAATCGATGAAGGACACTGCTGAGGGCAGCAGCGGGTGAGACAGGAGACGTCTGGGGCAAGGATCGAATTCGCACTGAAGTGGCTGCGGCCAGCTTGCGGTGCTGCGTCCTAACCTGTTGCGCCACCAGGGAGGGTCCCCCACCTACCTATTTCTACTTTCACTTCTGTCTCGTGCTTCCCAGATTTACCCACAAAGAAAACTCTTGGCAATCCCCTCCAGCCACCTCGAAAAGGCAATCAGTTAAGTCAAAATTAGAACTCCAGGAGGGAAAAGATACTAACCTTACAATACTGCACTGGAAGGAAAGGGGCCATGAGCGTTACCATGCACTCTCGGCTGGATTCCATGTCTACAAACAGGACTGCTCTAGAAAGCTAGGAAGCAGCTTGATCTCCTTAGCTGTGGCACGCAGTTGGTGAATTCTGTAGTACTTCCTCTGCTCTGTTCACACTACAAACCTGAAGTAGGCAACAGTTCTATTTTTTTAAGTGGGATGAAAGGTGATGTCTAAAGACATGTGAAGTGGGAGTGCCCACACTACAGTAATATTCACGGCCCCGTGTGCTAATAACCACTGTACAAAGAACTCAGCATCCAAGTATTCTTAGACCTTTATAACAACCATTTAAGGCTGGTGTTAGAATTCTTAATACAGTGATAGAGAAACTGAGACTTGGAACAAGAGTTGCCCTAAGTCACACAGAATTTAAAATCAGCTGTGTGATGCACAGGCGCCCCACCAGGATCGGCCTCCTACTTGAATACTTTGTCTGACTAAACCATAGAGTGCAGCCAGATGAAAGAGCAGGAGCTGTTGGGGGTGCCTCAGTCTGGGCTGCTCTTCAAGCTCAGCATTAGGTTTTTTGTCAAGTAAAAGATTTCAGTAAACTGAATTCTACTAGACGGCACATCTCACTTCTAACAGCCACGCTACGCCACATAAGAGGTAGTGAACATGACTGTGAACACGACAGTCCGTAGGAAGAGAAGGGAGCACTAAGAGGGCAGAGAGAAAGATGTGCATATTTTATCGTTAAGAATCACCAAGAAGTCTCCAGAATAAACCCTTCCACCCCCAAATCATTATATTCTTTTATTTACAGACTCTGGGAGCAAGGACCCAAGCACAGCCTGGTGCTCTTGGACAGAGAATAAAGCAGCTATTGTCCATATTCAGAGGTTGCTGAGGTGCCCTCCCCCACTGGTCTGGAATGATCTACACTGCTCAAAAAGTCAAATGGAGGAATGGCAGGCTGGCCAAAGGAGAAAACAGAAAAAAGTCCCTGTCCTCCTGAGGACTATGGCATCTGATGAGAGAGGAGTGCTGGGTCCGTATGCCTGCTTCCAGTGCAACAAGCCCTGCTTTTGTCCCCGTGGCCTTCTGCCCGCACCTCCACTATTACTCCCACTGGCTGCTTAAGTGCCTCTCCTGGAGTGCATGAGCAGGTCCCGCTGTAACCCCGTCTCCAGGTTTGCAGGCAGTCTGGCTGTGGGAGGGTCAGTCAGAAGAGTCAATTTGTTGAAAACACCTCGGCCAAAGTAGTCAGCAATCACGGAGAAGCTGTCATTAGAGCACTTGAGCTGCAGGGAAACAGGAGGAGTTAAGAATCAGAACCGAGATGCTTGTTCCCCAAAGGAGGAGGGGATGAGAAACGAGCTCTTGGCACTCCTGTGGCTGTACAGGCTGGTCTTCTGCCCCAATCATCCCTACCTGGTGCTGGAACTGATCGTGGAGATCCCGTTTCTGTTCCTGGGCTCGGATCATATCCATGACCTTCCGGTTTTCAGGGAGGCAGGTGGGGCAATCAGCGTCACTTTCTGAGTAACTTTCAAAGCAGTGCTGGTGGAAGGAGTGGCCGCAGAGAAAGTGGACCGAGGGCAACTCCAAGGCGCTATTACAGATGCTGCACTTGGTCTTCTGGAAGATCTTCGGACTGTAAGCAAGGGGCACCGGAAAGGGTGGCCAACAGTAAGGACAGGGCCAAAGTCAGGTGGGAAGACAAACAGCTGCAGTCAGTGAGCAAATACCCCTGTTAACGGACTATTAGGCCCTGCCCTTCCTCCCACAGAAGGGGGTGAACCGGGGATGAAACGGAGCACACCTACAGTGAGCATGCTCTCAGCAAATCCAACTGAGCCAGAGGGGTGTTTAGCTCTCTCAATTGTCATAATTGTCGCTGGTCGTTCAGATATTTACTTGCATAGGACCCTTTTAGTGAGTCTCTTCCTGGCCAGTGTAAAAATTTAAATGTGTATCACCCTACTCCCTTTCCTCAACGTATCAGTGAACATATCATCACTTCACACACTGTTCACTCTTGCCTACTTAATGCCTTTACTTGCTGTCACCACCCCATGTAAGCTCCATGAAAGCAGAGCTTTTCGTGTCACTAAAAACAAAATTCAGCAAATAAGGAATGTGGAATAAATTATTGTTCTTCTAAGAAGCATTTCACAATGTTAAAGGTAGCTAAGAGTGGGGTTAATGTCTACTATACACGTGTCAGTTGTCCACTTTCTGTATTCTCTACCATTTTCCCTTCAGAATGGCTTCCAAGCACAACCTTGAGTATGTGTGCAACAAGGCAAAATACAGGCACATACAGAAAGAAAAGCAGCTGCTCTAAGATGAAATCCTCTTAAGGATTTTTTTAAGATATGTATTTTTTAAAGTATATGTATTTTTTTTTTTTTTTT